GATCTGACTGCAATGTGCGGAGTCGAGAATTGAGATCGAGATTTGTATGGAACAATTGTTGTTTAGCTGCCACATCAGCATGCGAGCATTCCACTTCGAACTTCGCCGCCTGTAGCTGTCCCTCGAGTTCTGCAATGCGGGCTGTCTGGCTTCGAGCCTGTGTTTCGATAGTGGACCGCATATCGTCTCTCCTTTGGGCTTCCTCACGAGCTGTCTTTGCCTCGGACGTGGCCGTTTCGAGGCTTGATTGCAGAGCATCCGCGCGGGCTTGGACCGATGAGAGTTGGTCGGCCAACAAGAGACGTTTCTTCGCAGCATCCTCATCCTCATGTCCAGACTCGTGTAGTTGCGTTTCCTTCAGATCGTGTAGCTCGCGCTCGTGTATTTGGCGCACCTGGACCAGCTCTGCTTGCATCTCTTCCAGCCTCTGGTCTTTGTCTTCCACCTCCTCGGTGAGTTGACGCTTGGCTTGTTCGAGAACCCTTCGCTGCCGTTCGAACTCTTCGAGCATAGTCTCCAACTTTGTGAGGTTCTGGAGGCGCATCTGCTCTCCAAACTCATGCATCCTGGTCTCCAGTGCATCTTCTCGCGCCTTTACCTCGGCATCCGCAGCTGCGCGAGCAGCTTCATGGTCTGCACGTTGCTGCTCCAAGCTCTTCTCCAAACTTGACACCTTCTCCTTGTGCTTGTAGTTGTCGTTGCGTGTGCTCTCGAGCTCGGAGCGGGCATACGAAAGGATCGTCTCAAGTTCGGTAATGCGCGATCTCGAAGTAGACTCTTGCTGCTCCAGCTGATGTTGTAGCTCAGCAATCTTATTGCGCGCCACGTCCTGCTCACTCGTATCGATAATGGCTGAAGTGTGCCGTATAACCGTCTCTTGCGTGGGCTTCCGCGGTGTATCATAGTCTTCGACGGTAGGCTGTAGCGATCGCGCTTTCGGGGGTGACGACCGGGGGACTTGGAGGAAGCTGTGCCTAGGCGCATGTAGCGGTGTTCCTGTGAGCGCGCCCTCCATTTCCGTGTCTGGTAGATTGCTGAGAAAGCTCCGAACCTTCTCGTCGTTCTCCATGGACCTCTCGGAAGCTGGCGAGCTGTGCTGGCGCTCGTTCTTGGTGCCATTCGGGCGCCTGGTAGGAGAGGCTGTGCGAGATGTATTACTTCTCCGCCGCTCCGTGTCCTCCACAACAACTGCCGGCTCACCCACTTCAGTCGCATGTCTACTTTCACTCCCGTCTTGTATGGCGTCCATTCGTATTACTGGTCGTTTCGTGTTGGCCTCCTTTCGCGATTTTATCTGGGCCAGCGGTAGATCTGCCGTCATCCAGTAGGTCATGTTCATGGTGAAGTCTTCCGGCCCCTCAATCTCGCTCGTATCCACGTGATCGACTGGCGGTTGGTGGCTATTTTCCAGTTCGGTAGACTCAAAGGTCGAGTTGAGGCCCAGGGCGTCCAGGTCCATCTCATATTGTGATCCATCTTGGGATGGGCGGCGCGCCGGACTGCGTTGGGGCGATTGGAAGCGCGTGGGGCTGGCCGTATACGATGAATGTGTTCGGACCATGTTTGCTACATGCGACTAGGAGCTACGGATGTCGCGATGTCGTGATGCTGAGATGCGATAAGAATTGTGCTGCTCGTGTCTGTTTGTTGTGGTAACGCGCATTCGACGTGTCTCGCGAGTCAAGCGGCCATGCACGGGCCCTCAACACGATTCAGAACCAGGGTCCAGTGCAAGTTATGTTCTTCCAGAATGCTACCAAAAAAAGATGCTAAATTTACATCACTGAGGAGTAGGCCTTGAGATTTGAGATTTAGTGTACTGCTATACTGCAGTCCCGTGTGATTTGACACTCCATGGATAAAGGCTGCCCCCTTTGCCCTACTACAAACCCGCTGACCACCTACCTCTCAATTCGCTGTCTCACACATTGCGTCCACGGGCATTACAGCATATAGTTTCTAGAGTGAGCAGATCTCCGACAACACCATGCTACTTTTCCCAAGTGCAGAATCTCCACTCGTTATACCCTCCGTTTGTGTGGCCATGCTAGAACATTGTAAATCCGAGAACCATGCGAAGATAGACGGCGTGTTGGGAAGGGTGGCACCATGCGATTGAGATCGCGAGGTTTCCGCACCGCCAGAGCTCTAACAGATAGACTAGCAGGCCGTGCGACCACACTGCCCTTGTACGATTCTCTTCGTCCTTCTCCGTGCTGATGTCTCACGCCTTTCTCCCATCTGATCTTGGGTTACGCAGCATGGAATCCTCACTGGGTGAATCTCTAATACCTCGTCAGTCGGGCGGAACGTGCTTTCCTTTCTCTTGCTGAGTGAAGCTGGTGCTTATCAGATAGGTTCATCGGTCGCGCTTCGCTGAGTAGTCATCTGCTGGTGTAGCAGTCATGATCGGTAACAATTCGTATATGAAGCGAGCCGGCCATGGACGCCGCGCTCCAGTCGTGGCCATCCGGGTCGAGCTCAAACTCCGAGCAACCGCGTTGGATGGCAACAATGGTACAGAGATCGCATTATCTATGGACGCAGTGCGACCACATTGCTGTCAAACTGCACGCCATAGCCAGGCCGTGCCATGTCGTTTGCGAGCCACTATCAGACCAAGCCTTGATAGGCGGCCATAATGTCTTGAAGACTGCCCGTGTCGTACTCGACGTCTAACTGGCAGGGTCCATGTCATGCATGCATGGCGGGAGGTCTCCCGGCTTCCGTGAGCATAGAAAGAATAACAGCGACGCCTGTGACCTAGGGAGGAGTTGGATGAGCTGGCGAGGGGTAAGAGGACAATGCGCAGTAAGATGGTGAGCAGCCCCCACGCGTGCTACTTGAAGCGTCTCTCGCGCGAGCTTGTTTATTAGACGTGCTGCATATGCGGCGTGTGCTTGTGGGTCCGGGATGCTGAACCGAGAGGGGTCCTGCAGACGACATCATCGCATGGTGGTCATGTCGGTCGACTCCGAGCTGTCCAAGGAACGACCCACCTTGACAATGCTGCTCTCCCGAACTGCGGGTAGTCGTTTAGGTTGCCCTCTGACCCGCGTGCACGTCATTGCGAGGGGGTCCAATGAACGCGCAGGCGTGAAGAAGGGTGCGCAGGCGAGATGAGAGATGATGCGGGGTATGCGCCTCGTTGGTTACACGACAGCGCGCATCGAGGTACGGGCTGCTCTGACGTCCATGGTCGAATCTTCATCTGCCCGTGAGTAGTGCCGACTGCGGGACGTGTATGTAGGGTAGCATCAGCGCGTATCGCGACGTGGAGCAACGGGCGATTGATAGTCAAGCAGGGTCCGGTCGACAGCGGCGGCTATGCTCGGCTTCCCGCTCAGGGACAGAGGGCAGTGCTGCATGCACGCAATCATGTCCCGCAACACCCATGGACTTCGTGGGGCTTCACTCCATGTGCTGCTGTAGCTCGTGCTGAGAGGCATGGCGTTCGTCATCCGGTGCGAGAGGGAAGTCGGTTGTTGCGGTTACCACACGCCTTCGCGAGAGTCTGCCCGTCTGCGGCGCGAGAATATCGTCTTCGCTGCCGTGCAACTCAGTCATTGTTTTTGGCGTAGATCAGGTACCCTCGAGCACAAGATAGATTGGGTGCGCGTCTGGTTGCAGCGGCGGCATGGAGACTGGTCGTTGCCCGCATACGAGCACGGACGATCCCAAGGCTTGCTTGCAGCTCGTCGAGCGCTGCATGACACCAGCAACAAAGGGATGCACTATTGTGGCTGCTTCTGACGTCCCATCCGCATTGTTGAAGATGACATGCTCTGCTCGCCGCTGACTATTGTTTTGCCGCCGGCCACAGAGCCAATCTCCCAGCATCATGGGCGCGCCGTCGTGGAAAATTCTCGGGGTGCCTCATCGAGTCACCACACCCGGATATCAGCTCCACTCTTGCCCGTCGACTCACATAAAGCGTTGATGCTTCCTGAAAACCACCGGCCCACCCCGCCAGCATCGACAGCTGCCACTACATACACTGCCTTTTGACCGGGTTCTGTCCCACGCCTTCACAGTCGACGTCAGCAGCAGCATCCGCTCTACGCGCAGGACCGATTCCTGCGTCCAGCCGTCTTCCAGGCGTCCATTCCCGTCCAGTGTGCCACCCCACGCGCCCATCTGGCCCCGCGCATTGCGCACTCTGCCCTGAAATCCAACTATAAGGTTCATCCACCTGTACCATCCGTGAGCCTCCTAGCCAATTAGACAAGGATTACCTGCATCAATCCCCACGCCGCATCTTTTACCCCAGACTCACGGCATTTTGTCCTAATCCAAGCTTCGAGGTCACATACAGCAGCTTCCAGACCGTGCTCTGCCATTGTGTCACTTTCACGCATGCCATCGGTCCGTAACTGAATCGGTACGATTGCTTACAGCACCTTGTGTCATATACACCCGAGGTATCCAGGCGCCACACATCCTGCTCTCCAAGTTACACATCTCCGGCTTGTGGGATGAATTTCGGCTTCAAAAACAATACTTCGCACTGGCCCGTTGGACAAGAACACATCAACCGATAGTCTGGTCAGATCCCCCGCATTTTCATCTGTGGCTGCATGCCATCATTGCGATCCTAAGCCTCTCGGAATAACGATAAGCTTGCTTTTTCTACGGTTTCTGGAGGCTCCACGGACCTCTTAGCAAGCCTCGTCAAGCTTGACTTGCCGAATCGGAGAGTGATCCCGAGTCCAGCTACCCACGGGCACGCGAGCGATCGTCATCGAAAACGCCTATTCTTATCTATTTTTTGTGGCACGTAATGGACTCATCTTTGACACTGCTCAGTGCGAATATCCGTATTCTGGTACGTGGGCCTTCCCCTCATCTTTTTCTGCTGCATTGCATGGTAGCAAAAGTGTCCGTGTCTTACACCGGAGAGAGCCTTGGTGGCGCGTCCTTCATGCACGACATAACGGCAGGGCAACTCTTATAATTCGCCTCCCACACTGAAATTTTCTCTCCCATGGACATCAGCTAACATGATCACCTTCAAGGATACCCAACTCGCTCTCATACACATCCCGTTGCCTCTGTATCGCAACTTCCTCCAGTCCATTCTTCAACTAGTTCTGCCCAATGCGACGCGCAAGTCTTATGGGAACGGCTCTGGCGCCGTGCAGCCGCCCAAAGGCTGGCCCTGCGAACATCCCTTTGTGAATATCTCCATTACACCAGTCGAGTGCTCCATAGTATGCTCGAGGACGCTTGCGAGTGAACTATTTCTGCCTGTTCTCAACCTGCTGGATCCTGAGTCAAGAGCGTCTGTCAGTATTACCACAGATGACTATGTCGTAATGCAAGTCGATGGCGAGGGACTTGATGCAGGACAACGCGTCTTGGAGCTGACAAGTCCTCTTGCTCTGGCTGGAATGTAAGTAGAGGCCTTCACAAGGCTTCCGCACAAGGCTGACTCAATTCCAGTCCCATATTCTTCATCACCACTTACTTCTCCGACTACATTTTGGTCCCACTGCGACACCGATCGCAGGTCGTACAAGCGCTAGAAGAGCGTGGGTTCCAGTTCGAAAAAGACACTTCCTCATACGTCAACTCCTTCCAACATGCCCGCAAACACTCAGCCGCATCACTGGAAGTTCAGCCGCCCAGCACCCCTCCGCCAACCACAATTTCGGAGCTTCAAACCAGGACCTTCGCTACACTCAAGCGTCGTCACATCGTTCCCACGGTGGATTCGAGCATCCGGCTCGTGCAGTGCGCCGGTCGACGCGACAGTACAAATGGCATGTCTCAAGCTCGAAACCGCAACAGCATGACAACATCCGCCGACGACGCACTCCACCTCGGTCTCGTAAAATGCCTCATCACGCAGCCATATCCGAAATTTTTATCGCTCACACTAACTGATACCGAGTCTGCCGCGCTGCTGCTCGACCAAACTTTACTACCGCATTTCGCGCAAGATACTCTCCTAGGCTCCAGAGATGAGTTTTTGACACCCATCACCTTGGACCTGCGAGGTCTGCCAATGGAAAGCACCGGTATCGTGTGCGGTGTAGCTGGCAGATTAGTCGGCGAAACCACAGGGCAACTGGAGGATCCTGTTGAGATGAGTTATTTGAGCACCGCGCGTGCTGGAACCGTCATGGTCGCTGAGCAGGAGCTGGAACGTGCACTTGATGCTCTGCACGGCGCTGAAAGTGGTATTTTATCGGCAGATGAGTAGTTGTGCTCGTGTATAGGTGCGGCACAATTCCTTTTTGGCTGTGACGACCGGTGCTGGCTGAATCGAGGTCGCTTGCGCCTGCCAAGTATGCGGCCTTCACTTCCCACTCGGCTTGCATCGGCTCCTCTCTTCCACTTCGCGACGAACAACGTCGCTACGATTTTCGCATTCGCTGTATAGGATAGGATTTGGCGACTGGATCAAAAGTTATCATTTATGCGTACAATCAGTAGCTGTGTAAATGCGTGACGCAGCGTCTTCGCCCTAACATCGATTTGTACAAGTGGCCGCGTATACCTCACGCCCGCGTGCTGCAAGGCAGGAGCGCCCCGCCGCTGCACCTCTCCTATCCTACCCGCATGTCGTCGATATGCACGACGACATTCTTCGAACTTCTAGTTTCCCTAGGCAATCTTGTTGGTTCACATAGACGCAATGTGATAGCCATCCCTTCTCACCAATCACGATTCATTAGCTCTTTTGGCCCCCACTGCGGCTGAGGTCTGACATGGTTCAGCTCAATCTCATCAAAATAAGCAGCGATGTTCTCACACTTCGACGAGTCTGTCAGTACTCTACCAGGGGAAGTTCCAGTTTCATTACAGCGTCTAAGACGCAAGGCCGACCGTGAGCGGCTTCGCCATCATACATGTCGACCGCTACGCACTCACCGCTGGCCTTTGTGGAGAACAAAGCTGCACCTGTGAAGCTGATCGAAGTGACCAGCGATGGCCATGCAAGGAGACTGGAAGTGACCGACGACTTAATTGAGGGATACATTGAGAAAGACTTCACGGCAAGTTGCACTGGCTTCCAGGATAGATGCATTCTAACATGAGGAAAGACCCATGGTAGCAAGACTGAGCAGCCGGCCAATGTAGAAACTATTAAGCTCTTGTGAGTATGGTCACTAAATACACAAAACTTACCGCGCTGACCCTCTCTGTCACAGTTGGTCGAGGCGCGTAGGGGAGTACAATGGCAGTATGACACCTGTGCCTCTGTCGTCGCATGCATTTGCGCGCATCGCTCCGTATGCTCGGATACCAGAAATCTACGCCCGAGTTCTAGACTACAAAACTGCGACATATGTATTCGCGAATCCGCAGCTACCCTCATTTCTCTCGCGTACGTCGCCGAAAGAGTTGCGCAATAGGTATTTGAGTAAGCGGGAGACGCACACAAATGCCAATTATGCTGCTAATGCTATAGTCCAGGCTTTATCCTACAGTCTGTACCCGGTACAGGGTCACTTGTATGCGTCAGCGCTTCTTTTACGTACGACTTCTCAGCACGACACATGTACATCTTTATGCATGGCCTTGCAAGCTATAACTACGACCGCTTTTCATCAGTCATTGAAGAAGGCGCCTCTAGCGCGTCTGCGTTCTTAGTTCCGAGTATCATCATCCGTCACAATCTCGTGAGGCGCGTAAAGGCACTGAACCTTTGGCAAGATAAGATATATTGGTTCGAGCGGAGGGTCGGCATTCGATACGATCACCAAGATAACCCTGAGTTATCCAGTATCGATTTCAGCACGCTTTCGAAGGGTCTGAATGGCGCCACCATCAATATCGCACACATAACGTGGCTGTGTAAAAGCACTACGCGTATGCTCGACTTTCTAGACGAGGTTACAAAGAGATACAGAAAGCAAGCTATCGCCAATAACGTGTCCGAAGACGATGCGATTGAGATAGAGCAACTGCTCAACGACTCTCATGCGCACATGCGATCCTGGAACACAGGCCTCGAAGATCGGGCAGAGTACCTTTCCAAGCGAGGACAAGCTCTGGTACAGACTGTGAGTACCACCTGAGGGTTATACTCAGTATACTGATATCTTGTACAAGATCTACAGTGGCATTGCTCAGCGCGACTCCGCAATAAGCCTCAAATTGGCGAACACAAGCACGAGCCTTGCACAGTCGTCACAAAGCATAGCGCTATCAACCTCACGCGACAGTAGAGTTATGAGAATCATCGCCGCCATCACCGTGTTCTTCTTGCCGGCAACCTTTACTGCCGTAAGTTCATAGCATAGTGTAGTATATCATACATCATACGTGCAGATCTAATACTTGGCAGACGTTCTTCAGCACCTCCTTCTTTGACTTCAAACCCGATCAAGGTGACAAGGTCTACTCACAGTGGATTTGGTTGTACTTCCTGGTAACAATAATCTTGAACTTGACTGTGTTCTTCGGCACATGGTATGTATGGCGAAAGAAAGAGCTGGAAATCATGGCATCTTTCAACTCAGCCGACAAAGAGCCAGAAACCCAGACTTTGGAAACATCCGGAAGAAGACTTGATCTTGACATGGCGCAGTATGTTGAGCAGGAGATTGGTCACGCGGCACCGGGGGTGAAGTCGCACACGAACTCATAATTTGATCAACTAGGCCAGCGACAAACACGTTACGCCGAACCAGAGGCAAACGCATAGCGAGAGCGAGAGGAATCCGGAGCACCTCTTACCAGAAAAAGATACCAAAGAGGCCTAGAGGCCTAGAGACTACATTAACATAAATACATGCAAAGTAGGCAATCTAGCGTCAACGTAGGCTCTGAGGTGTTTAGTCTTTTCCTAGGTTCATGTCAGAGAGCAATTGAAGACAGGCATTGAAGAAGTCATACAGGATTTCCCACTCTCTGATCACATCATCCACCTCTGAACTGCGCCTAAAACTCTCAACCCCGTCCATACGCAGTCAGATACGCCTTACTATACGCCGGGTCATTCACGCGCAGCAACGCAAGCTCAAGAAGTCTTTGCGCCCGCGCGATAGCCACGACAGCCTCCATAACAGGATCCTGCTTCAAACAACGACTACCAGGGCATACATTCTGGACAGCATCGTCTACCGCGGCATAAGCTTGAGCGAGCGATTCTTGCGCCTCCTTCACCCAAGCGCACTGGTATGCGCGGTCGCCATATGGAATACCGCGTCGGATGTAAAGAATCTGGGCATCCAACTCATCGATACCAAAAGCTCCTTGCGCCATGACTTCGTCGGCGCATCGAATGAGTAGCTCCTTGGGAATGGACTTGGAGGCTTCCGGCACGTCGTATAATGAGAGCAGAATTAAAGGCCTGGGCGATGAATCAGCCTCATGGTCGGTGTCGCATGGTGGTTTGGCACTGGTGGCTACACCGGAGGTACTTGATGGACTGTCTTGATCGTATTCTTCGTATCTGACGTTAGGACTGAAGCTTACCCGTCGCGAGTGACTGGCCCTGGGGCCTTTCATATGTGTCTTGTGGTATGGATCGGCTGCTCTCTTTGCCAGTCGTGTGAATGTGTCGTATCGATATAAAAAGGCCTCTAGAGTGGTAGTTGGCGGTCCACCACGTGCGCAGAGTCCATGGCGTCCCTCGATTTGCGTCGTGTTTGGTGGCCTATTCTTTGACGGTTCGGTAGCTATCGTCGTGACACAAGTCTGTGTACCGATATGACAGACTTTGTTGCCCTCTAATAAAGTGCTCTTTTCTACCGATTTGGACTGGCTATAATTCGATGGCCCGGCAGTTATCGGCGGGACACTGGTCGATGTATCGTTGACACTGGCTTTGTTCTCATCCAACACCTTTGTTCTTACTGGCATAGCCTGACCCGGCTCAGAAGGCTTGCTGTTCGTAACACTAGTGAGTGAACCGATAGCACCGGTTTTCTTCCCGTCCAACACATCGCTCGTCTCTGCGGATTTGGGTTGGCTATGCGGAGAAGGCTCAATGCTCGCAGCAACATCCTTCTTTACCTTCTTTACCACACCTAAACGGCATAGCCGCTTGATTGACTCCTCCAGGGCGAATGAAACAGCTGCCTGTTTGGTCTTCGGCTTTGCAGAGCATATGTCGGCGTCGATTTTGCTAGCCAACTCTGCTCGCTCTTGATGCACGAGACTTTCCTGCAAGAAATCAAAAGCAATCGGATGCAGAGCCAAAATAGTCTTGCCACTGCTTTTCGAAAGCACATAGCTGCGGAAATTCGGCTTGGTTCGAGCTTCTTCGATAGTGGTTTTGAGGGACCATGTCTGGACGGTCTGAGACTGGTTGTCCATAGTTGCAGAAAGGGCGCTGATGCGTTGAGATTTGTTGATGGATGGTGAAAGAACAGACCGAGGCTGAACAGTGGTGGCCGAAGGTCTCCTGAGTAGAGGCAATTTGGAACTCGATGGTCAGTGGAGTTGGTTCTCATAACAGTCAGGTGAGGTTTATGGCTGTTCGTGGTGCAGACTTGTAAACCGTGCCACCGACTGCCATATCAGGTTCCTGTTGAAGCGCAAACACGAATTTTGCGCGCCACGATCCAGCGACGGGGGTGATTCACCAAGCTCTATGGTCACGGACCTTGTTCCCTGCTTTCACAGCAATCGAATCGATAGCGGTGAACTGTCAACGACCTTGTCAGGAGTCAAGCTCAGGCAATGTAGACAATACCCTCATAGTATTACGCATCTTTTCGCTGCGACTGGTCCAAGATCAATACGGTGGGTCCAAAGTCCTGCTCCTCAAGCGTATCACTATTGGTTCCTCTCCTGATGTTGTCGTTCTGAGCTTCTTCTTCCGTAGCAAAACGGTAACATCGCGTCTCAGCAAGTCCAAAGCGCTTGCCCTTCACGAGGAAAGCTTTGATACCTCGATGCGTGATGATGGCGATGTTGCTATACGTTGCGGAAAGACCTTTCAGCCTTCTTCGCACTCGTTCAGCACGCGTAATAGCCGCTTCAGTACTATGCTCGGGATAGTCCCACTCTTCATTGCACTCAGAGAAGTCGAATTGGGGAAAGTTAGACGCTAGCTCTTTTCGCGACAAGCCCTTGTTGCAGACAGCGTCGTTGGCTTCTCGAAGATCGGGCCAGATCTGAACGGGGACGTGGAAGGAACCTGTCTCCGTCAAGGACGGAAACATGTTTATCGCGGTCTCTATGGTGCGGGTCATGGGCGAGATGAGGATCAAATCTGGCTGGATCGTGAGATTGATGCGTTTGGTGGAGACGTTGCCGGCTTTTGTCAACGGCGGATCTCGGTGTGGATAGCCGCGCTGAACGTTGTGCAGTGCTTCGCCATGGCGTATGATATGTACACGCGCTGCCATTACGTTCCTACAAGCAAGTGGATGGCGCGGGTGTTGAACGTAGAAGCACTTAGAAGCACTGAAGACCGCCGCTCGGGGTTATCGATAAGAAGGCCTGAAGCTTAGCATCGTTTGAATCTTCGAAGCTCCGCTCCTGCGCGCTCATCTTCCACGTCATTGCACATATCGTCGTCAACTTCCTTTCTGAACGCACTCCGGAGCTACTGGCCAGGATAATGGATTCGCTGCATCTTCATCACATGCCCGAGGTATGCAGCTGCAGCTGGGCCCCCTTCCACGGCGCATGAACTTGTTCAGGAGTTGGCGGCACCCACCGTCATCGATGCCAAGGTCGCCGAACGATCTCCGCTATCGGATGTTGCATTGATCTGCATCTGATAAGATGAGATTGATAAAATTCCCCACCACCTACTCCGCTGGAGCCAATCGCGAACACCGCACGTACGACGTCAACCTCTTTATTAGGCAGAATGCTCGTACTGCGACAAGGTATAAGAAAACTCTGCGAGTGTCTATCGGCCGTAGCATTCGTGCAGTGCCCTGATGCTGATGGGTACGCGATGTGTTTTTGGGGCGTGCCGTAGGCCTTATAAGAAGCAAATCGAGGATTGTAGTACCTTCAACATCTAAGCTTCTGTGATATTCGTTCTCTACCCATCACACCATGCGGTTCTCTGGCGTCGTTCTCGCCTCGCTGGCATCCATTCTGGTCCATGCTCAGAACAACACAACCTCATCCTGGCCATGGCAAAACTTCAAATCTCGCCCTGGTTTCGAGGTAAGTTATGGCTATACGAAGTGCATGTGAGACATATACTGACTTCGTACCCCTACCTCTGCAGCCCCCGGTACTTTCAGTCAACAAGACTGGTGACACCGCACCGGGAGTTATCACTTTCCCTCAGAGTGGAGGTGGGGCCCACAACTACAGTCTGAACATCTTCCAAGAAGATGGCGAGCTGGTGTGGCAGTCTGGCTACGGCGACTACGCCGCCTTCAGAATTTCTGAGCTCTTCGGCGAACCCGTACTGGCCTACTTCAGTGGCATCTCTCTCACAGAACCTTGGGGTTTCGGGTATGGAGTAATTTACATCCTCAATCAGCAATACGAGAGCATCTACAATGTCACTCTCTGGAACGAAACGTACCCACTCGAGAGCATCTATCCCCTGTACGATCCTACCCAGTACCAACCTTTCAGCTGGGTTGATATGCACGAGAACCTTATCACCCCTGAGGGTACGATGTTCATCGCCGCTGTGAATGTTACACCATGGGATTTATCATCCATCGGCGGCCCGAAGGATGGGTGGGTTGTGGATTCCATTGCACTCGAGCTCAACGTTACGAACAGCGAGATTCTTTGGCAGTGGAGCCATCTTGACCACGTGGACGAAGTCTCGCTCGAAAGCGCTGTGCCAACGTATCCGCTTGGTGAGCTAGGCAAGAACAGCAGTTACCCTTGGGGTCCGTTCCACATCAACTCCATCGAAAGATTCGAGGACGGAAGTTACTTGCTCTCTTCAAGGCATTACTGCTCCATCTACAAGGTTTTCCAAAACGGCACCGTAGCATGGACTTTGAACGTAAGTTTCCATCCCCGTCCCCATCCTTCCGACGGTACGCACTAGTGGTGATCGCCATACTAACGAAACCCCAGGGACATTCCGGTGGCGACTTCGCCCTTGAGAATGGTCTTTCCTTCTGCTACCAACATGACGCGCGTATCCATCCGTCTCGCTCCCCCAACACCACCACCATCTCTCTCTTCAACAACGACAACAGCGCCGTTGTACCTAAAGTCAACGAAACTACCGGAATCTTCCTCTCCATCGATGAGCGCATAATGACTGCGACATTGCTACAAGAACTTGCCGACCCAGACGATGTCATCTACTCGGTCAGCCAAGGCAACATGGAAGTCCTCCCCTCCAACCACTCTATCATGGGATACGGCAGCGTCCCAGCTCTGAAGGAATATGACCAAGATGGCAATGTTGTGTTGACTGTGAAATGGGGAGAACCAGAGAAGGTGCAGAGCTACCGCGCCTACAAGGCCGAGTGGGTTGGTAAGCCGAGCACCAAACCTGATGTGTTTGCCTGCAAGGCGAGCAACGGCACAGAGGTCTACATGAGCTGGAATGGTGCCACGGAAGTCGACACGTGGACTGTGTTCGGTGGTGCATTCAACGGGACCCTTACCAAGGTCGCTAGTGTTGAGAAGTCTGGTTACGAGACCAAGGCAGTCGTGGGCCACAAGCTTGGGTTCGTGAGGGTGGAGGCAAGTGGC